CTTAGTTATTTCATTTTTTGAAAATAAAATAAAATAAAGTGAGGCCAAAACGTGTAACAGTGATGGACAATCAATGTCAACAATTCTTTTCTTTTAAAAAAAAATTACCACTCTCTATTGGTTGCACACAGCAGATAAAAACATCAGAATAAAAGACTGCAGCAAAAGAAGTATTTTCACATGCAAAAGAACATTGCATCATACAAGGATTATATGCCAGAGACAACACAACAGGCTTGAGGTTATCTTATAAAAGGTTATTATCTTGTGTATATTTAGCCAGTGAATTATCCTGCAGATCGTCAAACTGCTTACAAAATAAAGTCAAATGATCCCATATGACTCCCCACAGCCAAGGCTGTCTCCAGGCCTCTACCCTACCCTCCAAAAAAATATCCATTTGCAAAATTAGATTTATTTTGGACTTTAGATAGTTGTTATTCCATCACATTACCCATAGGGGGGAAATGTTCTCATACGCCAGAGCATTAGGCCTGTAACCCTATGCGCAATCATGTGCAGTGAAATTAATGGGACATGCAAGCATAATAAACAGTGTGCAGGTCCAGGATAGCAGTCTCCAGCTCTGAAGCAGGCATTTTTCTCTTGCTTACACCTGACTTACCAACAGGGACTAAAGTCCTCTCAACTGCCTATGCAGCTAATGAAAGCTCTTTGTTAGCAGCGGAGGAAGAAATTGACTCAAAGCTTTTCTGCAGGCCTCTGCAACTTCCCCTCTCCCTTCCTAGCAGACTGTTGTGATACACTGTGACTTCACACAGTCGGTATTAAGTGAGTTAATTCAAAGGCATTGAAACCTCATTGATCCTAATTGAAAGCAATACACCCAACCAAATAGTTTTCTACCCCATCTGTTCTGGCCTGCCACCAGCTATTCAGTTCAGGACAATTAATAGTTTCAGATATTCTAACTGACCCAATAAAGGCACTCATTTAAGCAGGACTGCATTAACAAAGTGAAAAACCAAGGGCAAAATGGGTTCAAATGGAGCATTTTACTCCTACTTGGCGTTAACAAAGCTGAATAACGCTTATTCTGACTTTTTATGTGCAAGGCTTGATAAACTGAATGAGAAGGCACTCAATGATCAGGCAACGAGCGTTGATGAATGGTCATTCGGACACCCCCTCATCTCCAGGCAAGGCTATTCCACAAAGTGGCATACCAGTTAGAAAGGGCGAACTCAATAATGTCCAGATTTCCTCACTTGTTTTTCCACTTTCAGTCTTAGGCCACCGGCCACCAAATGAGGCTGACATATTGAAAAATAATCTTTTATGGGTGAACGGCAAGTAAAAATAGAGCATTAGCCGGGCTTTCAAATTCTGATCTGCTAAGTTTGTCAGACCCCAAAGATTTGATTTTCCACCCAGCTGGAAGCCGTTAGTGTTTTCACAAGGAATCTTACTGACAAGGCAAACCCACCTAATACATGAGCTGTTGAGTTTTTTGTGGGGAGATTCTATTTGGATGCCTTCCTAACTTTATTCAATAGACTGTCAACGTGATGTACAGTAAACACACTACCACATGAATACATGTATTAATTTCATACAGCTGGCAGTTGTGCTGCCCTACAGTATTTCTCTAATACATTTATGTCACTTTCCTTGCGCTTAAAATAATAATAATCCGAAACAGTAAGATGAGAATTAAATTTACATGTCACAGTTTTGGGTTTTGTTTTGTTTTGCTTGGTTTTTTACAAAAGAGAAATCTGTGTTCTCTTACTGCAAGGACTTGTATTAAAATACTGCATCTGGATTAAGGTAATACAGCAATGTTCCAACAGAGATCAGCCACACAAATAATTGATTTTTCTTTTTAGCACTGCCATGACACAATAACCACACTAAACCTTTTTTAAAAAACAGCAACAACCCTATCTTTCCTCAGAAACATTGCTAGAATACTAGTGACACATGATTTCAGCTTTGAATGTGCACATTTTAAAAAAAATACTCACCAGATAATGCCAAGAGTTTTCCCTACACACTTCCTTATTGGCAAGGCTTACTCTGCTTCTTAAAATAGCTACAATGGGATTTTAGATCCTATAGCTGAGTGAAATGAAGATAGGGAAACTGTTTACACATTTACTTTAGAGAATTGTGTGTGTGTTTGTGTGAAAGAGAAGTTGCATTTAGTTTGTCAACTCATGAGTGCATGTTGGGATAAGATCCAGGGTGTACTCACAAAACCTTATTTCTAGATGTGTGCCTATGAACAGTCTTAAGTGTATGTCTAAAAAAAGGTAAAGTATGAATACAACAAACACTTGTGTGTAAACATGTGAACAGATACCATGGCTGACATTGAGTGTCATTAAGTAAAATGAGACAGTAACCTCAAGCAGCTGATTTGGGATATTTGTTTTGGAAAGTCAGCCCATTGTAAACTATTTAATTTATTGTTGCTGTATTTTCCTGTCAAGGAAGAGAGGCACCTGTGGGATTTTCCGCCTCAGATGCCCAAATAAGTTGCTAAGACTATGTACTTCAACCAGGGTGGGGTAGTACTTGCTGCTGTGTCTTAGTCAGCAAAATGTCTTGACCCAAGAGATGAAGATAGAACTGGATTTGGCTCTGTCAAGTGTAGACATGATGGCAATCCTGGGTTGGCTGATTGTAATGTGTGAGAAACAGTCCTAAAACTATAGAACTGCGATTAAGTTAAAATCAACGCACATGTTTAATAAAAGAATCAACTAGGCAGGCCATTATTTGAGCTATCAGATCAGGAGAGAATCTGTCCTGGCAGATTAGTCTGGTACACCAAGTGGTAACAGGAATATGAGCCAAATGCAAAAATACTGTGAACTTGGAGAAATTCATTTGGACCTCACATCATAGGTGCTCATAACATTTCCTGTGGAAGAAAAAGAGCAATAATAATACCATCCCTATTCATACACTGTGGGCCAAAGTTATACTATCTGGGAAGCCTATGGTGGCATCTCAGTTTCCCACCTGTAAAATGAGAACAACAATGGGCTGCGTTTTGAAAGAGGATATGCAATAAAGTTTGTACTCCAGTCTGAAAATTAAAAGCGATCAAGCATACCAAGGAACTTGTGCCTCTTAACAGCAGCAAGAACTACTGCTACAGAGTTGGCCATGGGTCACAAATTTTACTTTCCACTATACAGAATGTTGTATGCAATATTGTAAAGTCTGACAAAATATATATTCCAATAACCAGCAAATTCTAATATCCATTGCCTCAAAACTAGATCAAGTTTGGGATACTAACAGACCCCCAAGTGACTTTAATCTCCTATATTTTGACTTAAAGTGCTATTAAAACAAAGCTTCCTCATCCATTTCCTCCCTGTTTGCAGAATACTCATTTCAGGGGAAACCTACCAACGTAAGGATGCATCATCAGGTCTAATTAGGAAATTCTGCCTTTATTAAATATTACACATTCTTTTTTCCCTCTTAGAAACATTTTGATATTTGTGACGTTCTTTCAGCCTTTAATGGGAGATTGCAACATTACCACTGAGAACTTTTGTTTTGTTTTGTTCCAGTGTCACCACCTCCCCGTTTTGACAGATAGTGAGTTAGTTTTGTTAAAATGCAAGGGGTGATAGCGTATGCTCCAGTGAACTTTCCCTCCTCTCGGCACCAGAGACAAAAACCTGCAGCTTTGCTCAGCGCTGGCAGCCATCTGGACAGCTTGCTCTCAATGTCTTCCCCACACCACACTGCAGGCAACATTTCAGGGCTCCAGAGCTCTGTGGAGCTATTCATGACATACCAATTTCACATTTTCTGCTTCTACACTTGCAACAATAAATGCTAATGAGGACTGTGAATGACATTTTTAAAGACAATATAAAAAAAGGTCTCAAAATCCCTCGCATATGGAGATACTGTTTTCTAAACTTCACCTTCTGTTGGGGAACAATGTATAATTTAGGAGGGGGAGCAGGGAAATAACGGTAGGAGAAAAATTAGGGAGACTGAAGGATAACCAGGTCCTGCAGAATTGCGAGTAAAACAATGTTTGCAAGGTAGGCTAATGACACAGATTTTCAGACCACCTCTGCACTACCAACCAATCCTTGTGACCGCATTGCTGTTTCTTATCAGGAGAGCTCATTAATTATTGTCTGCTTGCAAGGGAGCGGGGAAGGCAACCTTAAATGACCACGCATAACCTCAAAAAGCCATACATTCCAACAATTTAATTGCTAATCTTTAGATGAGACTGGGGGTAAACTGTTATCATTAATTGGTTGGAAATGCTACGCTTTCATAAAGATTAATGCAATGACCGAGTGTGGGCAAGCAAAACTATCTAATGTTTTCGCTTTTTCTGAAAACAAAAATGCATTTTACAGTGCCCTTATTAATACAAATGGCTAATATGCTTGAGCTCCAAATGTGATCACTTATCATTAACAGGGATTAAGATACTTTTCGCAAGATCCACCAGGTGGAGCAAATATGCAACACTACAGAATTCTCAACATAAATTCAGATCACCAGAGTGGGGGTGGGAGCTCTCCCCCTTCCCTGCAGTTTCTTCCTCCTTTTCTTTGTAAAGTGTAGTTGACTTATTTGCCATACAGCAGAACCCTCGTAATCTACCTCAACATTACCCAAATACCTTGATTATCTGAGTTTGCTGTGTTCCCCGCATATTTGGTGTGATATTTTTTGACTTAAATCCTTCAGTTGTAACGGCCAAACTCCCAGGTCTTACGCAAGGGATACACTTTTTAATTACCTGCTTACATTGCAAAAACAACTGGCTCCTTCTCTCCACAAAACTCACAATGATCAATTTAAGGGATGAAAGAGCAGTTTTGCAGCTTGGCTATGAATGCATGGTGCCCATTTAGCATAGGTTCCTGCATCACCTTGGCACTCCAGCTGTTGCTGCAACACTAATCCTCCCCACACTTTCAGGTAATGCGAGAAACCCAGAACCACATGGGTGGAGCCCCTACTGCAGATCTTCCTCATATGCTGGGATAGCTCAGTCGGTAGGGCGTAAGACTCCTAACCTTAGAGTTGTGGGTTCAAGCCCTACGTTGGGCAACAGATTCCTGCATTGCAGGAGGTTTGAGTTGATGGCTCTCGTGGTTCCTCCCAACTCTACAATTCTATGTTTCTAAGTGAGTCCAGTGCTAAACCAGCTTCTTAAGGACTGATGCTGGCATGCCGTTACTCTTCTTATTGTGAATTTCTCCCGTGTGGTCCTGGACTTCTCCTATTACTCAATTGATGTTGCAAGGGCAAAGTGAAGCACTTTGGAAGCCTAGTTTAGAAGCAGCACAACAGTGTGTGGTGCTAAGAAGCATCAGCACTGGTAAAGAACAAGGGCTGAAGATGTTAAGGTGGGCTCAGGAACACATTTTGGCTGGAAAGAAATCAATAGCAATTGGGAAGTACCGGTACACTTATGCTTTAAGACACTATAGATAAAGAAGCTGGTCAAGGATTGTGTGGCCTATAATTAAAGAACATGGATCTAGCACAATCCCAAATTCCAGCTTTAATTTTTTTAAAAAATGTCCAGCCTTGGCAAAGAATAATTCACAAACTTCTGTGAGAGAGAGCCAGCATGGTGTGGGGTTAAGAATGGTGGACTCGTAATCTGGTGAACTGGGTTCGCGTCTCCGCTCCTCCACATGCAGCTGATGGGTGACCTTGGGCTAATCACACTTCTCTGAAGTCTCTCAGCCCCACTCACCTCACAGAGTGTTTGTTGTGGGGGAGGAAGGGAAAGGAGAATGTTAGCCGCTTTGAGACTCCTTCGGGTAGTGATAAAAGCAGGATATCAAATCCAAACTCCTCCTCTTCTTCTGTGTGGTTCTGGTATGAGGACCAATTCCCTAGCTGAGGGTACTCTGTCTCGAAACTCTTATCATTTCTACTAATACTGTGGGAGTCCGTCTCATGGCACCTTCTTTCAACTCCTCTCTTTCAAATAGTCTGAAAATCCCCCCCCTCTGTATTTTTGCTTCTTTCCTTGACTTGACTTGACCTTGGCTGTCACTAAAAGCAACTTTCTCCAGTCCCCTTCCTCAGCTCCTGGTGGACCCAAAACCTTCTCCAGACTAATTTCTACCAACTTCCCCCTCCCTATCTTTCATCCTAGTTCCCATCACCTTTTGTATCTCTGATAAAAATTCCTGAAGAATTCCCCTGTATCCACCACCCTCTTTCTACTAAGAACTCTTTAAAAAGTTTCTTGAACACGGCCCCAAGAACTGGACAGTGTTTGGGTGCTTCTAGGTTGATGCCTAATACTGGAAATGGATCATTGAGATGTTGCAAATGGGGCACTGGAACAAGATGTTTTTAAACAAAAAACTTACTGGATTTCCCCAGAAATCTGAACCTCGTAAATCTGGATCAAATGTAGGGAGGGATATATGGGCTGTAATTTTGGGGACAGTGATGTCATGTGGACATTGCAAAAGACTTGCATGTATGAGGATGACCTACTCCACAAGAAGCACTAGTGTGGAAGCATCCTTAATATAGCTCATATATGTACCACACTTATTTAAAGGTTGAACAGATGTTTACAGTCGTTTTCATGCACACACAATTTTTTTTTCATGCTGATCTAATACACTACTTGCTATGCATAGAAACATAAGAACAGCCTTAAACTGAATTAGGCCGTTAATCCATCTAGCTCAGTATGGTCTACACTGAGTGGCAGTGGCTCTCCAGGGTTTCAGGTAGAGCATGAGACTCTTAATCTCAGGCCTATGGGTTCAAGCCCCACATTGGGCAAAAATATTCCTGCACTGCAGTGAGTCGGGCCTTTTCTGCAGAGGCTCCTCATCTGTGGAATGCTCTCCCCAGAGAAGTTTGCCTGGGGCCTTCATTATACACCTTTAGGAACCAGGCAAAAATGGTCTTTTATAACCAGGCCTATGGTTGATTTGATTGACATCCTATGCCCTTTTAAAATGTGTGATGGGGTGTGTGGGGGTGTGATTGGGCTGTTGCTGTTTTTATTTTTAATATGTATTTTGTGGTTTTATATTCTGATTTTATTATGTGAACCGCCCTGAGACCTACAGGTATAGGGTGGTATATAAATTCAATAAAAATCATGATGATGATAATGATAAATGACATACGTGGTCCCTTCCAACTATATAATTCTATGACTCTTCCAGCTGTACTTGGTTATGCCAAATATTTAGCTTGGGATTTTCTTCATGGAAAGCAGGTGATAGACCACTGAGCTTCCCCTTATGTAAGCTTATTTGTATTTTGTTGGTAAGTTACTGAGATTTCCCAGTCCTCTCTTTCAAGAGAAAACCTGCTCTCACACCCTGAACCATGTAATCCAGTGCAAACTAGTCAGTATATAGATGATTTTAACTTTTATTTTATCCACCACACCAAATTATTTCCTTTAGAAAGTTCACAGAAAGATCAACATAAGATTATCTAAACCAAAATGGAACACTTCAGTCCCAGAAGCAGGCCAGTTAACATGTAAGTGAACAATACATCAATGCCAGTTTTATAAAGGGAAATAAAAAACAGCCACCTTTTTTCCCTTTTTTTTCTTTTTTTTGAAAGGGGAAAAAAAAATCCCCAGCCTTTATGCCAGCGTTGTCAGGACTGGGAGAACAGCACCGGCAGGAACCTCACATTCCTGACCAAACCCTCTTGTACACAATACCTCCTGAATGAAAGGAACCCAGGCCGGGCAGAGATAGCCGACTGTCAGGAACCGGCCCTGACGTTTGTGGACAGACAGGGTTGGCTTTGCAGGATGTCAGAGCAGCAAACTGCAGCTAGAGATACTGGACTTTCACACACTTCCAGATTGGATGTTTTGCTCTTCAGGTAATTAAACAAGGAAGCAGGGTCTGATGGTACGAGCCTGACCCCGGTGGTGTGGCTCCATAGTTCTGCATATCAACTTCCGCAAGAACTGCCTGGAGCATCAACAGAATCTTCTCTATGTGCTCCTTCTTCCTCCCTGCCCCCTTCCACCCTCCTTGAAACAAGTCTCTTAAAGAAATAGCCAATTTTTCAAGTAGCATGTTTTCTCATATTTAAGTGCAATTACTTGCACTGTGTACGCAGCCTTACAATCTTTTGTTTAAAAAGAAATTGGGGTGGAGGTAGAGAAGCAAGGATGATTGTTCTTTGCTAGACATTCTGCAAAATGTTGCCAGCTATTGAAGCAACCTGGGGTAGGTTATATATTATGTATCTAATAAGTAAGCAATGAATTAACATCAATGGATGTCATAATGGCTTTCTGCAAAACACCTGCCTCTGTAAGAAGTATTGCAAAACTAACATTCTGATATTGTATCGCAAGCCTTCTTGTTACTGGAGAAACAATAGGAAGTCAGCTATGATGGCACTGTAGAGTTTTCTCTCCCTTTGTTCAATTTCCCTCTGCCGCTCAAGATTTTTTAAAAATTCAGCTTCACCCTCACCCACAACACTAACAACTTCTGAATGCTTTGAAACGCAACATATGACTTGCAAAGCAATGTCGAAGCAAACACAGGGACAGCTTTGCAATTGACCTAATTTCCTGTTTAAGATGCCATCTGAAACAAAATAGGGTGCTTTTAAAATAAAAATAAAAATAAAAATAAAAATAAAAATAAAAAGCTAAGTAACGTATTATCCTTTGTTTCAAGAATCTGCAGAAGGGAACATGGGCTGAAAGACAAGAGAGAAGGAAGAGTACAAAAGCAAGCTTGCTTGTCTGTGTTCAACACAAAGAACATTAAATGAAAACAACTGGCATGCTGCCAAATTCCTATAGAGGCAAAGAGATTCAAATAAATTGATTTCACGCATCACACTGACCTGGGATCAGCGAGCAGTGGTACAATATACTCAGAACTCTGTGTGAGGCAAAGCCCATTAATGTTATCAGACCCTTAGTAGATTACCAAACAGAAAATGCTCTTTCTCTCTGTCACACACACAAGAATCCCTCTAAAAAGATAAATTTTAGGCTGAATTAAAATATGTTTTGTTTTAAAAGTTACAACGCTCACCCGCCACATATCTCATTTATTGGTAATGAGAGCTACAAATGTTCTAAAGACAGGTTTTATTGTATTCAATATCTATTGTTAAATGCACCCCACCTTCCCCAAGTGGTGTGATGTTCCAGAGATGGTGTTGCCGAGTTTAGTTTCCTGTGGATAGGAGAGGACTGGAGAGTTACAGAGTCTTTGTCATATTTGCTTTATTTACAAATATACAAGCAGAACATGAGGAGAGGCAAACAAGTGCTCCTTCAAGGCAGCTGCACACTTGTTTTACCTAGAATCCCATTCTTTCTGCTTCTAATTCTCCTAATGTCCCTCTATCCCTTCTCTCCTTTCCCTCATCTAGAAGGGATCTTCTCCAGGCTTAGATGGCTGTCTCCTTCTAAGCTACAAAGACAGACCCTCCAAGTGTCTCTATTTTCCAGGGATAGTCCCAGATTTACAGAAGCCATCCTGGTTTCTGATTTGATCCTGGAATGTCCCACTTTTCCTTAGTATGTCCTTATTTTCATCAGATAAATGTTGGAGGGTATGGAATAGGATGTCACCAGGGCTTTTTTCAGCTGGAACTCACCAGAACTCTGTTCCGGCACCTCTCAGGTAGGCACCATTGCCATTATAAGGGAACAAAGGAGGCGTTTATGGTGAGTTCTGGCACCTATTTTTCTAGAAAAATAGCACTGGATGTCCCTATTTTAAATTGGAGAAATGTTGGAGGGTATGGAAGAGGGTGTCCCTATTTTTATCGCAGAAATGATGGAGGGTATGTAAAGAGATTCCATCTATGAGGAAGCCATTTCCTGTTAGCCCCACTGATGAAATAGCAGCAACCAGCAAATCTGCCTAACAAAGGAATGGTTGAGGCAGCCATTCTTACCCAATGGTACTGTACTAACAACCTCATAAGCCAGCTGAGGCCCATCTTACCTTGATTCCATTGTGTTGGCAGAAGACAACTGTGAACCTTATGTGGCCTGCGTCACAGTCTTTCTATGCAAATTCTTTTAATTCCTAACCCCTATGGTTATGATTCACGGGTTCTCACTTAATTTAATTTTGATTTTAAATGTGATTTGAATTGTATTTTAAACTAATTGTTTGATTTTGTGTTTTTAATGTGTTATATGTTTGGTGTTAGCCGCCCTGAGCCTGGCCTCGGCCGGGGTATAAATAAAATTATTGTTATTATTATTAGCCTGTGAGGGCCCAATGTGTGCCACCTTCCCTTCCTTTTTACAGAAGGGGAAGAACTGCATTAATCAGGTCAGATCCTGATGCTTGTGGCCTCCATGTGCAGGGGGAAGAATTGTATGGCTCAAGCTTGGATTATTATGGCCTTCATGTGGTGCATTGTCACGGGGGAGGGTATGTACCTGCTCATTCAAAACACAAAAAGATCAGCCAGCTAGGTAAGAAGTTGAAAAAGAGCACTTGGATAATTAGAAGCTTTCTTTTCACCTTCACAGGACAAGTGACTGTGTCAACACTGGGATTTCCATTACAGCACAGTATCTTCAACAATAAAAGGGCTTTTCATAAAGTTGGATGTTCAAAATCATACAATAAGCAGTTATCTGTAAGCAAATGCAAGGAGAGAAGGCAAGGGAATTCCCTACCTGGCTTTAATCAATAACCTCTAAAGCCAGTTGTCTCTTATGTACCAAAGGGAGTCATGCTTCCTTTTATTTTATTTTATTTTATTTATTTATTTTTGGATAGACCACTGCAGTCACACAACATCCTGGGAGAGATTGTACGTAATAATAAGCAACTGTTGCTAACAATGTCTGGGCTTCCTTGCCCACAACAATGTTGATAACAGAAGGAACAAATTCACAGCCTCAAAGAGAGAAACCAAGAGCCACATTAAATGCATGACTGAAGCAAATGATTGGGGTTGCAGCGAGCTGTATTTAAGCTCTCCTTCCATCGTTCCATCATTGTCCCAACAACAAAAACCCACCACCACCAACTACTAGCAGTTTTCTTCCTGGGACAAATAGTTTAGCGGAGGCTATTTTAGTTGGGAAGGAAGTTTAAGCCCCCCTCCTCATGGTCCCAATTCTGATCTCCCCCACAGCTACTGCTTTTTAATTGCAACCATGCAATTAATGTATGTTGTAGTTTGCTATTCAGAAGCATCTGCTTGTGCCACATCAGCTGCCACAAGAGGTAGGGATAGCCACCAGCTTGGATGACTTTAAAAGAAGATTAGAGAAATGCATGGACATTAAGGCTATCACTGGCTGCTAGCTACAATGGCTGTATTTGACCTCCACTGTGGGAAGCAGCATGCCTTTGAATACCACTGGCTGGAAACCACAAGTGAGAAGAGTACTATCACATTAAGGCTCTACTTGTGGGCTTCCCATAGGCATCTTTTTGGCCATTGTGATGTGGAGTAGATAAGCCATTGGCTTTGTGTTCTTATTTTTAGGATCACACCCACTAGCCATGTGGATCCCATTTGTGTGGAGACACTCTAAGAATGATGGCAAACCACAGGGCCACCAGGGGGATAGTCAGCAGGGGCATCAATCAGTATTTGTAGAATTTGTGGGATGCTCCTCTTAATGAGGTTTGGCTGATACCTTCATTGTGCACCTTTAGGCACCAGGCAAAAACATTCCTCTTCAACCAGGCCTTTGGCTAATTAACACCTTATACCCCCCCTTAAAAATGAGTTTGACCAAACTGTGGGAGGCAGTGGAAGACAGGAGTGCCTGGCATGCTCTGGTCCATGGGGTC